TATAGGTTTTGCGCTCGACTGAATAACTCAACTTAAGGTTTGTTTATTATGAGCAAATGGGCTTCACTGCAGTGTTTTTACAGCTGTTATGATGCACTAAAAAAATAAAGTACCGTGGAAGTGTTTGACCCTTTCCTTCCTTTTTGACCTGTGTGTTTTCTCTCTTTCCTTACAGACAGTGCAGTCACATAAGCCTCACTTCTTGGCAGTGCACTGTCAAGAAGTGGGTGGGAAGAACTATGAGGCATCCATGTCACACGTGGATAGCTTTGTCAAGTAAGTATAATGCTCATGGTGGGCTCATTTGCCGAATTGTTTGGATTAAAATGGTAATAGCGGAGCAGTTTCTGTCATAAGGAAACACCCACTTGAGGGCTTGTTGTGGAACATGCAGGAGCAGTCTGGTTTAAACTGAGCTGACTACTCCCCCCACTGGTGGCATCACAGCTGCACGTCAGCACAGCAAAATACCTTGTGTAAATCTTGGATCCGGATAAATATGAACTTAGTGAGTTATTTTAAATGTGGTTCCACTTGAAGTAAAGCTGTGTGTGTGTGTGTGGTGTGTGTTGTATGAGGTTGTGCTGTGTGTGTGTGTGTGTGTGTGTGTGTGTGTGTGTGTGTGCGTGCGTGCGTGCGTGCGTGTGTGTGTGTGTGTGTTCTGTCCATCAGGGAGCTGTTGTCCAGTGATGCCATGAAGGAGTACAGCAGAGCTCGCGTCTACCTCGATGAGAACTACAAATCCCAGGAGCATTTCACAGTGAGTGCTGTTGTGGTGCATTCATGTTCTATCTGAAAGTACACACAAACTCTTTGAATTTAAAGTGTTTTAACGTGATGGATCCCAGGCTCAACAGTGATTGGATTTAATTGGATTCTTCAAGCTGGCCTCTACACATCAAATAAACTTAGAATAACAAGAGAAAGACAGAATTATGTATTAGACATTGTTCTAAAATAAGTCTGTTTCTGTTATTTCCCACTGAATACTGAACACTAAAGACTTTAGATTAGTTGCATCAAACTGTTGTTAAACTGGAAGTCTGCCTTCAAACAGATGTAAAGCCAGAAAATCTTTTCTGCAAATGAGAAATAGATAATTTAACAAGTCAAGAAATTTCTCACCCTTTTAACAAAGTGTTTGCTTTTCTCAGCCTAAACCCTTTTGACCACACCTTTTCCTGCTGACAGCAGCGGCAGCTTCAACAACCATTTACACTTTTATGCTAAGTAGCACTTTGATTCTTGACAGACTCCCATTTCTCTGAATTCTGATATCACTAACAAGGAAACATCAGATCAACAGAGAACGTGTCAGGTTTGTGATCGCAGCTCATAAATTAGGACACTTGTGGTTGAAACTGTCACCCACCAGGTGCAAATGTGTGACAGTTCAGTCAGATGCAAGTTCGTAGAAAACGTTGACCGTGGTGTTTTGAATAGCTTACAGTTAGTTTAAACTCAGAAAGGCGTCATTTAGAGCGTCGGTATATTAAGCTCTGAATACAGCATAAGACCCTCCAGTGGACTAAAAACTGCTGCAGACTCATAAGCTGATTGACCTGCAGCTGTTGGAGAGAGTAAATGTTTGTGAATTTAAGGTGGAAATTCCAGCTTAATAGACCTACACCAATATGCTGTACCACTGCCTGCCACTTCCCCCTAATGTGTAGTAACAGCAGACGGCCACCAGATGGCAGTAAATATTAGGAAATCATTTTCCTGTGAGAGAGAGTGTTGTGTTCAAATGTTTTGGGATTGCTTCTTCATTGATTATCAAGATTTATTCGCAATTCATGGATTCCTTTGCAGTAGCTTAGACACTTTTAGTTAACAAAAGTAAGTCATGATACAGTCAGTTTTCAGTGTTGCAAGCTGTCAGTGACTTCACACTGAAAGAAGTTGAAGTGCAGCAAATTACCGTAGGGAGAAATCTGGTTGGTAAACGTTGTAAAAGAACAGATCACAATGACAATGTACATGTGATACAAAACAACTAGTATATGAGTGCACACTTATTCACAGATCATACATAAACCAAAACAATGAATACATACTCCACTATTTATGGGAAAGCTTGCACCAATCAGGATTACTCAGTTAGGTAACTCCAAAAATAACATGCAACAACTTGGCAACATGAATATTTATTAATAAATAGCAATATTCAATACATATGACTGATTGACACCTAATATATTCAAGTTTAGTTTTACAAATTCGGATTCAGAAAGACTAAAAACTAAAGCCAAATAGTTTTTTTTTTCACAGGTAAACTGATAACCCAGTTTACAGAAGCAACAATAAAATAACAAAAATCCTGCCTTTTCTTTTATGGCCCAAAAAAAAAAAGTTGGCAAAAAAGTAATCAAACTACTTTGCAAATATGAATGCAGCTGAGTTGGCCTAAATAATGAAAGTCAGTGCGGGATAATGTGTCACACTCTCTGTAAGATACATATTCATCTACCATCATCTTCATAGGTTTCCTGTTTAACTGACACATCAATAAATGATATTAATTTGGCCAAGTACGCAATTATACTCAGGACAGAACCTTTAATCTTGGTCAATGAGCCTTTTCATTAATTTATTTGTTCCATAGCTGAATAGATGTTTTGTATATGGCCTCTTGGTGGCGCCAGATACTCAAACCTAACAGCAGTAGCAGCAAAAGACCTGAGTCCTGCAACCGTCCCGTGGTTCACAAGGAAACATGGTCTTAAGTTTTATGTCCGCTGCCTAATTAACAGACTCCGGGTATGTCAGATGACCAACTCCACATTCCCAGGAGTTTATGTGGAAAAAAGCAGTAGAGAATAACAAGTCGAGACTGGTCCAGATGTGGACTTTGGTCCCAGTTTGTCCCACATCACCGAGTTGTGTGTGTGTCTTGGTTCTCCTCCATGTTTACGGCGCTATCACCACGCTACACTGCACCTCCACAAACGCTCATAAATCACGGCACCCACTGAGTCACATTTGCTCTTTTCAAAAAAATATTACAAACATTGGCCTTTAGAAAATATAATTATCTGCCATTTCATATAAGCGCCGCTAATATCCCGGCATTATGAGCTGTTTATTTAATGGTGTTTGTCTATAGATTAACCTTTTTGTTGTATTTTCATTTTCATCAAATAGAGATGGCAGTTTGTGCTTCTCTTTGTGAATCAGTCAGTGGAAAGGGAAACATCTGATGTGCTTTCTATGATGTTGATATTGAAATCCTGGCAACAGTAAATATGAATAGACTCTCCAGTCTGTCTCACACAGGGCTTGCCATTTAGCTTTGATGACATCACCCGTATTTGTTTTCTCAATCTTCGATTTTTCTTTCCCCCGTGCTCCGGGGATAATTGTTTGTTGTCTGCCCCGCCTGTCAATTTTCAGATAATGTAAGTGGGAACACTTTTCTGGGTCCAGAGCTTCCACTTTGTCTGAGTGTGCGTATTGTTGTGCTTTTGTATGCAGTTATGTGCGTGTGTAGTTTCTTTGGACGTGAACAAGTGAATGATTTGAATGTGTGGGAGTGCAGTAATGTGGCGAGTGTATGGTAAAGGCCAGTGAGATTGTGTACATGCCTGCCCAGTGTGAGAGTGTGTTTGAACTGCATTTCTGCATCCGGGAAGGAGAGGAATGTGACTGAGGGATGAATGTGTGAAACCCATTTTTTAGAGCCGAAGAAATTAATCAATTAGACCATCGACACAAATTCAATCAGCAGCTCATTTTTTAAGCAAAAATTCCTAAAATGTCTCTGGATCCAGTTCATCAGATGTGAATTTTTGCTGCTTTTCTTAGTCTTCTATGATAGTAAATTGAATCTTTTGGGGTTTGGGAGTTTTGACAAAACAAGCAATTTGATTATGTCAATTTGAGCTCAATTTGGGAAACTGCGATAGCTGTCCAAAAGATTAATAAAAAAAAATATAGGATATATAGAGGATATATATTATAGAAAATAATAATTGGTCGAAGCCCTAACTGTGCTTAAATCTGAAGCAATAAAAACATAATTATCTATTTAACAAATGGACTTTGAATAGCATTATTTTAAATCACCTATTTAGTCAGAAAAGTGGAGCTAAAATTAACTTTTGATAATTTGTTGAGCAAAAATATTTTTTAAGGTAAAATCAGAACCCATTTCCAACCCAATCCAACCTGCTGATGCGTAAATAAAATGCAGTGTGGATGCTGGAAGAAGCTGAAGCCTTGTCTGTTTACTGTAACTTAATTTCTCTAAATTAAACTGCAATAATTTATTGATGTTGAAATGCTACATGTAACACCTTCATGCTGAATCTGAACAATGAGACGTCCGGGCGAGCTGGAGCTCCTCCTCTCCTCCCAGAGGAAGGCAGCAGTGCCAGGAGCTTGACTGACACGTTCCCCCCTACGGCTGAGCCTGGGCCTGGTGTTTTACAGCCCTGTTAAGGTATACAGCAGGTAAAATGTCAATTAGGAAGGCCCGCCCTGATAACTCAACTCCCAATCCACTTGTTCTTGGCCATTAATATTTATCGTGGGCCTGGCCCTGGAGCTGCAGCCCATGTCATCTGGAATGATGCGCGCTAATGTTACAGCTTCCTGACACGCGCTTCTACTCTGTGTCTGTACAGCTTAACAGAAAACGCCTGCAAACCCGCATGCACAAACACACACACCTCCCACTGTCACATAGTCTAATCAAGATATCCACATACACAGACAGTGACACACACAGACGCACGCACACACTGCCTCCCCAGCCCTCAGTTGTTCCAGGGCATTTTAATGGGAAATTAAAGGCATCCCTCATGTCTGTGGTCTGCAGGACAGGAATGAGTGCAGCGACAGAGGATAAATCAGGCTCTGTGGCTTGACAGGACACCGCTGTCTCCTCTTTACCCCCGTGGTTGTGTGTGTATGCATGCATGCATGTGTGTGTGTTTGTACTTACAACTGCTTTTGCTCCAGGAGACAGTGTTGTAGTGTGTAAGCACTTTGTCCTGACCGATTTGTGTCATGGATCTAAAACACTGGAAGTTCAAAGGAAGCTGTTTGTAGTTTTTGATTTCATTATCAAGGCGTCAGTGTCTAATGTTAGTGTACACAAACTGCAAATGGTAACAGACTTCTAATGAAAAGCAGGCTAGCATGAATCCCGACTTACTGCTTTTGATGTGGTTGCAGTAAGCATTTACAGTAATTTACATTATTTGGAATTAGAGAGTCGTAACTTTACTAATTTAATACAGTTGCACTTCATAAAAACAATCTTCACACAGGATTTGTCCTTCCTGATGTAAATTAGGATTTTAACAAACACATACAGTTACAGTAACAACAAACATGTAAGTGTTACAGTGTTACAGTAAGATAAAAACTGATTTTGTAAATATGGATGATTCATAAAGACTGAGTTGGCTGTTCACATATGAAACATTTAGATTAGTCAGTCCCTCGGAGAAAGGCTGGGAGATGAGAGAAATTTTTGTCAGGATAAACTGCAGGCTTGTAGCATTTCCTTTCTGTCTTATGCTGTTTGAGTACAATTTATTTTAATTGTTTCCCATAAATGTATATGTTATCTTACAGTATACACAAGCACAAATAATGTTTAATTTGTTTGAAGTGTTACCAGAAGATGCTTTTTGATAAATATCAGTCTTGCAACCCCTTTTGAGATGGGGAAAATGTTTGTCGTGACACAGAAATAAAGACAAACTCATTACATAGGTTACATGAAAAATGATTACAATACAAAGAAGTTAG